GGATCACTCATTTTCAGACAGGTTTTATAGAAATGGATCAAAAAGAGAGAGAATCTTTGTTCCTGAAACTTAGAGTCTCTTTCACAGAGGGGACACATGTTGATGTAGAAGAGACATGAAGAAGAGGGGACACATGTTGATGTAGAAGAGACATGAAGAAGAGGGGACACATGTTGATGTAGAAGAGACATGAAGAAGAGGGGACACATGTTGATGTAGAAGAGACATGAAGAAGAGGGGACACATGTTGATGTAGAAGAGACATGAAGAAGAGGGACACATGTTGATGTAGAAGAGACATGAAGAAGAGGGGACACATGTTGATGTAGAAGAGACATGAAGAAGAGGGGACACATGTTGATGAAGAAGAGACATGAAGAAGAGGGGACACATGTTGACGTAGAAGAGACATGAAGAAGAGGGGACACATGTTGATGTAGAAGAGACATGAAGAAGAGGGGACACATGTTGATGTAGAAGAGACGTGAAGAAGAGGGGACACATGTTGATGTAGAAGAGACGTGAAGAAGAGGGGAGGGGACACATGTTGATGTAGAAGAGACATGAAGAAGAGGGGACACATGTTGATGTAGAAGAGACATGAAGAAGAGGGGACACATGTTGATGTAGAAGAGACATGAAGAAGAGGGGACACATGTTGATGTAGAAGAGACATGAAGAAGAGGGGACACATGTTGATGTAGAAGAGACATGAAGAAGAGGGGACACATGTTGATGTAGAAGAGACATGAGAAGAGGGGACACATGTTGATGTAGAAGAGACATGAAGAAGAGGGGACACATGTTGATGTAGAAGAGACATGAAGAAGAGGGGACACATGTTGATGTAGAAGAGACATGAAGAAGAGGGGACACATGTGATGTAGAAGAGGACATGAAGAAGAGGGGACACATGTTGATGTAGAAGAGACATGAAGAAGAGGGGACACATGTTGATGTAGAAGAGACATGAAGAAGAGGGGACACATGTTGATGTAGAAGAGACATGAAGAAGAGGGGAAATATGTTGATGTAGAAGAGACATGAAGAAGAGGGGACACATGTTGATGTAGAAGAGACATGGAGAAGAGGGGACACATGTTGATGTAGAAGAGACATGGAGAAGAGGGGACACATGTTGATGTTAGAAGAGACATGGAAGAAGAGGGACACATGTTGATGTAGAAGAGGACATGAAGAAGAGGGGAGCACATGTTGAGTAGAAGAGGGGACACATGTTGATGTAAGAAGAGACATGAAGAAGAGGGGACACATGTTGATGTAGAAGAGACATGAAGAAGAGGGGACACATGTTGATGTAGAAGAGACATGAAGAAGAGGGGACACATGTTGATTAGAAGAGACATGAAGAAGAGGGGACACATGTTGATTAGAAGAGACATGAAGAAGAGGGGACCAATGTTGATGTAGAAGAGACATGAAGAAGAGGGGACACATGTTGATGTAGAAGAGACATGAAGAAGAGGGGACACATGTTGATGTAGAAGAGACATGAAGAAGAGGGGACACATGTTGATGTAGAAGAGACATGAAGAAGAGGGGACACATGTTGATGTAGAAGAGACATGAAGAAGAGGGGACACATGTTGATGTAGAAGAGACATGAAGAAGAGGGGACACATGTTGATGTAGAAGAGACATGAAGAAGAGGGGACACATGTTGATGTAGAAGAGACATGAAGAAGAGGGGACACATGTTGATGTAGAAGAGACATGAACAAGTGGATTTTGCACAATAGGTGACCTTTAAGGTGGCAGTTGCTTGTTTATGTTGATGAGTGTTGTAAATATTGTCTGAATGTGTATTTTCCCCACTAAGCCCCACTAAGATAATTTCTGTTGAAATGTGCTTCCTTTGTGTTTTCCTTTCAGCCTGTTGATCCCAGTGAGGCCAGTTTACAACAGACCTGCTGTCTCTTTGAATAAGAGACAAAGGACGGCTGGTTAGTGTGCCAATAGGCCTCGTTCCTGCTCATTTAAAAGTTCCTCCATCAGTCCTCAATCCTCAACTGCAGTGCAATAGCTTTGAAAACATGATGTACTAACTAGTCATGATGTTAAGTGTTTTTTCAGTTTTACGTTATCTATGCTAGTTGCTGTAGCTTGTGGTTTTTTTGGTCAAATGTCTGCAACAATTGGATGGATTGCCATGACATTTGGTCAATTCATGTGTATCTAATACTTTGGTTTTTAAAGAAATTCCTTCCCAAATTTCCCTCAGATGTCCTATTAATTTGTAACTTACTATAGCTACTTTTAAAAACACTGAAGACTTTTATATTCATCATCCTGCCTTTAACTAAAACTGCAATCTCTGTTAGACTTAAGCTCTTTTATTCTCCTTGCCCATCTTTTCTGACTGTTTTAATACATCCGGAAATGTGCTATACAAAATAAACAAGCACATTTTAGCAGCTTAACATCAGCACGCTGTTAAGATGCATTCTGATGTTATTAGCATTTGACGAGCACGCTCAAAGCTAAAGCATGGTTAAATAAATCTCTCAATATGTTCTTTTGTTAATGCGAAAAAGAGATACAAATTGTACATCAACCATGACTTCCAATGTGAATTTAATGTCAAAATAAATCACCAAAAATCTGATAATTCCCCGGTAAAGGCCAAGGGTTTTTGAACCAGCATCATGCACGAGGAGGGTAGATTGACTTCATGTTGGATTTACTGTACCCAGCTTTATCTCCTTGGCTAACGCCGGTGCAGACTGCAGGGAGGTGACTGCTGTAATCTGATTAGTCACATTTAACCACTGCATGCCACACTAATTGAGCCACACTTCCACATTTAGAAACTCCCTCAGGGTTTGTTTACAACAAATCTCGGTCAACAAGTTTAGCAGACATCCGGTATCGCCTATGATGTCCCTGCCCATAGGACTCAGACAAGTGTCTACCATAAGCATTAACTGCATTTATAAAGCACTTAACCTTTCATTTAGCGATTTGCACAGCTTTCATAATAGGTGTATGTCATGTTACAACCCCCATTGAAAAAAATGAGTACAAACTGGACTACTTTTCCTACAATCACTCTGCTGTGTGGCTCCATGAACACACCAGTGTATCTCCTGCAGAGTACGATTGTTACATTTCTGTGTTAATCTGAAAACAATGCCGACTTTGTGTTTCTGCAGAGACTGGAGCACAGTGAGGACAGCTTACAACACATTCTTCAGTGTGTGTGCTTTCTCCTCAACTATTCACACGCCTGTAGTAACATGCATCCACGTGCAGACGCAGCACCCACATACGTACACGAATGCGCCAAAACAAATCACAATTCCATGTATTTATGTCGTCCTGTCATACTTTTATGTCAACAGCATATCCTGCAACATTTCTCTGCAGTGTCTCGTGGCAAACTGGCTCTTCAAGTTAATTTACATAATCTATCACAAGATATAAATCCCTGCCAAACTTCAGGGCTTGTCAATGACAGAGAGACACAGATATTCAGGAAGTTAAGGAAATAAGCTTCACATTGAATATGACTCAGAACATAGGAGTGTAGTGCAACAAGAAATATTCAGGAGGCAGCTTCAAGTATAATATTCAATTTAAAGTGGCAAAAATGTAGTTTTATATTCAATGTATCACTATTTTTGAGGAATACACACATCTGCTCTTAACATCATCATAGAGAACATTGGCAACTGGCTTTACAGTGTACTTCTTTGTCCACTTCTTATAAATGGGGTACATTTTGATAGTGTTGCTTCAATATAATATATCAACAGCAGGAGGGAACCTATTGGCAGAAGGAGTGAAACGCAGAAGAAAGAAATATCTTCTTATCTCTTTGACTAAACACCAGAGAAAGGATATGGAGGACAAGACAACAATGTGAAGAAGTAAAAACAGAAACACTTGTAATCGATATTTAGATACATATGATGTTGAATGGATGCTTACTATAGCCCTTAAAACGTTGAATGTCCATCACATTATCTTTGAGAGAATATGATGAGATCTCATGGGTCTGTCAGCAGATGGTTTTGTTCAGAGAGAATCCAGCCTCATAACAACTCGACTCCTGCAAAGACTCCTGGGGGCCGGTTCACTCTTCATACTGTAGGAAAGTGCAGTTGATGAATTCCCATCATTCCACAGACACTCAGTCTGCTCTGGATGTTTGTTTTACGGATTCACTTTGTTTACACACACCAGGGAAAGTAAGTGTAGATTTACCCACATCAACCTACAGCGCCTCACACTCAGGGACCTTACGCTGCTTTGTGTACATTCATCACAACAATATGTATTACTGTAACCTCATCAGCACTTTATTTACTCTTTGCACTTTATGGTTGAATGCAGACTGCATTTAGTTGTACTATGTGCAATAACAATACATTTGAATCTCATCTCACCTAATAAGGCTTGTGAAGATAATTACCTTATCAACATTGTTGGAGCTATCTCTTTATATTATTTAATAGTTTAACATGTATTCTCTTGCTGTTTATTGTAAATGTATTCTTAGTTAGCGTCATAAGTTAAAGTAGTTTCTATGCTTTTATTTTGAAGGCATGTTTGGGCACTGGGTGATTAGAGCACCTGGTGTAATTGTATATATTGGAGACAGGTGGTGGTGGGAGCCAGAGCACTAGTAGGGAAACGGTGTTTTACCAGGGTGTTTCAAGCCACACAAGGGAAAGCCATAGGAACGGCTTCAGGAAAGAGATATAGGAAACCTGTTCATTGTATTTTGTTATTGGAATAAAATGCACAAATGGAGGTTCTTGTCTGGACTTGGATAATTATTGCCCTGCGTAAGATCCGCTAACTAGTGCTTCCGTGGCTGTTTTAGTTCTATAGGATTTTGGCCGCTACAAACGTAATAAAATACATATTCTAGGGTGTTTTGTAGGGGTGGGGGAAATAATCGATACAGCATATTATCGCGATACTTTGCGTGGCGATATTGTATCGATTCACGGATGCCAAATAATGATATTTTATTATATAAACTTTATTTATTTTTTATATAAAGTGTAGCATATCCCTCCGAAAGATGGTCGTATATAAAACAGGAAGTTACGTTAAGACATGTATACAATTGCAATGAAAGTAACAAAAACAATGTCATCTCCTTTTCAGGTTCAAAGAACACAAATTGGGTTATTTAGATAAACTATTCATATTGCAAATACATTTTTTAACCAGGGTTTGTGATTTATAATATCTCAATATATCGTATCGCAATACTTAGCATATCGTAGAATAATCGCAATACTCTCGTATCGTGGCTTAAGTATCGCGATAGTATCAGATCGTGGGGAGCCTGGTGATTCCCACCCCTAGTATTTTGACTGTTGGTCAGACAAAAAAGCAAATTGAAGCCATCACTTTGCGCTTTCTATGGCATTTTTCGTTCTCTTCTGAGATGTAATTGATTAATACTAATGCAAAATCCACATCTAGTCAAACCCAAACGTTTACATGAGCTGTCACTGTCCCTCCTATATACAGTATGGGCTATATAAGCTTTCAGCATTGTAATATATAATGGGAATAAATAAAGGGAAAGTAAATCCTGGATTCTTTATTTATTAATTATCCCCATTTATTCTCACAATGTACCGTGTGTGTGTGTGTGAGTGTGTTTGTTAAGCGAAGCATTTCCCCAATGAGCCAAAGAATGTGAAGAGTGTAGTCACAGTCCTGTCCGAACAGAGAAGTACTTATTGTCACATTATTCAAATATGACAGGAATCTTAAGCACATTATCCACTTTAAAACCACGATAAAAAAACAACGTCACCTCCTAAATATCTCTCCAAAATGAAGATGTATCATATCTCTGTAAAGAGTACAGAATAAAAGTCATTATAATGTCTCTTCTGCTGGTCTCTGTCTCAGATTGAGAACTGGATATGAGCAGCAAACACCTTTCTGTGTAGTGGGTTCCCTGGCACAGTTTGGCATCACTTGTCCATCCCTGAGATAACTGACAGTTCTCTCAGTCTGAGGACGTTCAATCAAAAGTCAAAATGTCCTGGGCGCTCCACAGAAGCTTCTCAGAGGCCTGAGCCACGCAGGTCTCTGACAGCAGGCCGACACACACGGCCAACAGAGAGAGACGCCTGCTGCTGTTCAGGATCACTGCGAAAAGAATAGAGGCGAGAGAGAAATTAGATTCTGTCTGGAGGTCTTTGTGAGAAGCACCAGGAGCAGGGGGATGTTTCACACAAAGTTGGAGGTAGTTGCCACCTGCTGGTGCTCTAAAATGTTTTTGAAGAGCGATACCCCTGAACTATAAGGTTCAAATATTAGAAAATGTTATTAATCAGATACAAAATGACTTCTAATTTCTATAATAATGCCGTTTTATTTTGATCAGCATCGTATCCATCCCTTAAATTATGTGATTCCACTATAACCTCAAAATCTGGTTTTGCTAACACCCTATGTTAGGAGGGCACAGGGAAACACATCTATGGATGACCACTTATATATCATAAGTTTAAGTTTTATATTGGTACTACATACTAAAATGGTATAAAAGGTATTACTCATATTATTTTAAAAGCTCCTATTTCAGATTTGTTTAAAGATCATATTCAAACAAAGACACCTACAGTATTCACAGTGAGACTCTAGATTATCCAGAGTAAAGGAAACATTCTTTGTAGAAACAGATGCTGCCGCTGACTTCCTAAAATGTATATGTTCAACTCTCTGATCCACACCAACTACACACACACACACACACACACACACACACACACACACACACACACACACACACACACACACACACACACAACACACACACACACACACACACACACACACACACACACACACACACACACACACACACACACACACACACACACACACACACACACACACACACACACACACACACACACACACACACACACACACACACACACACACACACACACACACACACACACACACACCACTTCAGGGGACATTACATTGACTTACATGCATTTCCTGGAGACTTATCCTAACCTTAACCCTAAGCAACACATGCCTAACCCTAACCCTTACCCTAACCCTAATCCTAACCAAGTCTTCACCCTAAAATTAATGATTCCCCTCATGCAAACCTCCATTTTGTCCCCATAAGGGAGGCGAGTCCCCACACGTGACTGTGTAAACAGATTTAGGTCCCCACAAGTATAGTAATGCTAGGACACACACACACGTTCTTATACCTCTGATAGCCTGCGAGTTGGAGGTGAGCACGAACATCTTGATGAGGCCCAGGCAGAGCGGGGAGTGGTCGTGCTCCCAGATGACGGCGGGGATGAGGAGGACCTTCCCGTAGCAGGAGAGCAGCAGAGCCCGGAGCAGCAGGCGGAGGTCGAGGGTCGCGCCCTGCAGACCCCCCACCACCACCATGAGGAACAACAGCACGGCAACGCAGAACGCTGACAGCTCTACACACACAACACACACAGATACATGCATTTAATGATACCTTTGTGCAAAAGGCGTTGATGGGAGTGTTTTACCAGCAAGATTTAGCCTGATTCAATATGTTTCTCCATCTCAATGTTTATTTATTTATATAGTACATTTAAAACAACCTAAATTGACCAAAGTGATGTACAGGGAATAAATATAATATAAAATAACACAATGGGAGTAAAATAATAAAATAATCATTCAAAAAATCACAATAACTAGAAACATATAGAAATGTAAAAATGTTATCAACTAGTATTGAAAGCCAGTGCAAAGAGGTGCGTTTGACATGTCATACCAAGAAGAGAAACATTTAGCAGATATATATTCTGTATCTTATACAGCTCTCAACTCCAGGGTAGTGCTGACATGAAGTGTTGACTGACAGAAAATGAATCAACTAAATGTTTCAGAGTGATTCAGTTATTCATTAAGCAACATGTCAATCATTCTGTGCTCCCAGCATCTCAAACGGGAAAATGTGCTGATTTTTTTTAGTAAAAAATAAATCGTAGACTTGGACTGTCGCTTGGCAAAAACAAGTCATTTAACACTTAGGGCTCTGGGAAATTGTGAAGGGCTTTAGTATTTTAAAACATTTTCAGACTAAATGACAGTTATATTAAAACCTCGAGACTAATCAAAATATAGTGTAAATGCAGTCATACTCCCAGGTAAACAAAGCCAGTAACCAGAGGTGGGAAGCAGTGGAGTACACATACTTCGTTACTGTACTTAAGTACATTTTTTCTGGTATCAGTACTTTACTTTATTCTGACGACTTTTTACTTTTACTTCTTACATTTTTAACACAAATACCTGTACTTTCTAATTCACTTTTCCGAATGCTCAAAGTGCTTTACATGACATATTACACATATCAGACAAGTAACAGTGAATACAGCAAATTAGGGTGAAGTGTCTTGCCCAAGGACACAAGGTTATGGGTACTTTTTACTTAAGTACATGTCGAAGCCCACACTTCTTTACTTTTACTTGAGTAAAGAAGTTTAGTCAGTAGTTCTACTTTTACCAGAGTATTTTCAAACTTATCTTATAGTATCTGTACTTCTACTTGAGTAAAGGATGTGTGTACTTTTGCCTTCTCTGCCAGTAACAGAGCAACAGGTGTGTATAAAGCTCTGGTTCTCACCGAGGGCGGCCAATCCGAACATGCCGTAGAACTCCCACTCCTTGGTGTACCGGATGATGTCTGCGGGGTCGCTGCTCTGCTCGGTGCCGTGCAGCAGAGACCACCTGAGGTACGCCTCACACAGCAGGCAGAACACACACAACTTCCACTGGATCTGGAGGAGAGTACACACACACTTGAAGTACCTGAACACCAGTGGTGAAGTATTCAGATCCTTTAATAAAGTAAAAGTACTAATTGAATTTCCTACATTTCCACTCTATATAAAATACTCCGTTACAAGTAAGAGTCCTGCACACAGAGGTAAAAGTATGTCAAAATGAACAGCAACATTGAAATACTGAAAGTAAAATGACTGCAAAACCTTCCAAAACAAAACAATAAAACAATGCATGGAGAGAATGCAATATATACGATACGATATTATTTTAATGGTCAGATCAAGTCTGAAATTTGACTTGCATCACAGCAGCTCCATGTATAACATCAACATAGACAAATATCAGGACACAGTACATACAAAACAACAAAAAATACTATATACTGTTTTCCTGTAAGTGAACACTACTTTCAATAAGCTCTGTGTCACTTAAGAGTCCTGTTGTGAACACAGAGCATGCACAAATCTACAAACTGTTGATACATAGTAGAGTAGTTTATTTTTTATATATTATTGTTTGTGACCATGTGAAAGGAAATTAGACTTACATTCAGGCTCGTGTTGAACAAAATGTGTCTAAAAGCCTGCGTCTTGCACAAAATGGCATCAATCAGGATGATAACTGGGTCATATTCAATGTATTTGTCCACTGGCTTCTGACACGACTCCTGGAAACACACACACAATTTGTATTAAAATGTTGCTGTTTTGGAATAACACGATAATATTAAGCATTTGTGTCAAAAGTTAGGAATCAAACATGTCTATGAGATCTATGTTAGCTGTATCATCTTATAGCATGTAGCATCTTCATTCATAAACAGTGACCAAACCCCTCTAATTTAGGAAGATAAAAACTAACGTACACATATTGTTATCTTCAGGATCCCGTTGCTGTAATCCCGGTGTAACTCTGGTGCTTTTTCGTTACATTCAACACATCTAAAGCCATCTTTCCCCATTCTTCAACCTGTAAACTGATAACTTTACAACACAGCACAGCTAGCATGTTGTTCAATCAAAGCGGAAGTACGATGGTTCCAAACAGCTCCGCCTTCAAAATAAAAGCACAGATTGTAATTAGCTATTTAATCAATAATTAAAAGTTAATCATTTTATATTCTCCCCCAATTAATTGTAGTTATTATACATATGTGTACATTATTTTATTTATTTATTTTAATATAAAAAAAGTTGTATCACTTTATATGTCTTCCCCTGATAGGAACTTTTTTAGATACAAAATATATGATGTTCAAATATGTTCTTGAATAAAAAAACAAAGAAAAAAAACAAAGAAAATCTGGAAAAATGTGGAGCCATACAAATAAAAAGTATCGCAATTTTATTTTATTCTGAAAGTGTGTTCGTTTTGTCCGGCTTGCTTGACCGCTTTACACTGGACCGGTTTGACAGCCGCAGAGTATGCTGGGAAATGTAGTTTAATCACAATCTCCGTCTGCAGTCTTCTTCTTCTCTCGCGCGTGAGGGGGGCGTGTCCCTCTGTTTCGGAACCAACTGCCGCAGCTTCCGCTCTCAACGCGTCACACATGTAGCACAACATGGCCCCTGCCAGCCGGGCTGTTGTGGTAGCAGCGCTCTCTCTGCTCTACCTGAGCCGAGAAATCCTCTCCTCTGAATATTTCTCCACTCTCACCCTGTTCAACAATGAGCTCCACAAGCAGGGATGCAGCTCGCTGTCCGAGTGGGAAGAGTACGCGGCTGACTGCGGTAATAAAGTCTCCCTTTTTCGGCTGTTACTTTGCCACGTCCTACCTCTGTTTCAACTGTCACTGTGGAAGTAGCCTAAACGTTTGTAAGCTAACAGATGAGCTAATAACAACAAGCGGTGAGATAACTGAGATAAGCTATGGCTCTTACCACCGTAGAGGTTAAATGGGATTTGAAATGGTGATAAATGACAGTGTACATGAATGTGTACAGAACAGTAAATTAAGGGAACCTACAACTCATTCACAAACTGCATTGTTGTTGGCTTACCCTAAAAGGTCAACACCAAACTCCATTCAGAAAATACATTATTTTGGTGTTGACTTGCTCTACAGAAAAATCTCATATTTATCAGAGCATTAATTAAACATTTTTGTGAAGGCAATAAGCTTGTGGTGGATTCTGCTATAGCCCCCAGCTATATACACTGAACAAAAATATAAACGCAACACTTTTGTATCTGGGGTGAGGGGTAGGGGTAGGGTTAGGGTAATGTTGTGAATCGAGTGGCCCATGGTGGTGGTGGGGTTATGGTATGGGCAGGCGTATGTTATGGACGACGAACACCGGCCACTCGATTCACAACATTACCCTAACCCTACCCCTACCCCTCACACCAGATACTGACTGGTTTTCGGACCCCCCCAATAAAGCAAAAATGCACGTTTCAGAGTGGCCTTTTATTATGGCCAGCCTAAGGCACACCTGTGCAATAATCATGCTGTCTAATCAGCAGCTTGATATGCCACACGTGTGAGGTGGGATGGATTATCTCGGCAAAGGAGAAGTGCTCACTATCACAGATCTTTTCAGATTTGTGAACAATATTTGAGAGAAATGGTTATTTTATGTATATAGAAAAGGTTTTAGATCTTTGAGTTCATCTCATGAAAAATGGGAGCAAAAACAAAAGTGTTGCGTTTATATTTTTGTTCAGTGTAGTTTAATAAAAAAACTGTTTTACTTACTGCAAAGTGCATATAGTGCATATAGTGCAAATTTAACTGTGAATTATACTGGAGAGTTGTGGTGCAGTTATGTATCAGATAATTTGACCAAGAGGGGCCAGGTTGTACAGTCTGGGAGTGAAATAAAGGTGAACTGGTTGTACAAATTGACATTATGCTGAGATTACGGCTGTCTGCTTTAACCCATGTGTGTGCTGACTGAAGAGATATTATTAACCAAATCTAAAATATTTAAGAACACTAAAAAAGCATTTTGAGCTGTTAAATGTTTTTCCTGCCGCCTCGGCAATCCGCTTGCTTGGTTTATTTATTATTATTATTAAAGGTTATCTTTTTGTAGTAATGCATTGGAAACATAACAAAAAAATCTCTTTCAATGCTTTAAATATTTTATTTTTTACCCCACATGTATAACATAACTCAGACACACTCAAATACACCTCAAATATGCACAAACCTACTTAATTTGGCAAAAGCCACGTGTTTTGCAGGAAGTTTCCTAAAACACCAATATAATAATTCACTTTTTAAACCACAATTGCAACTTTAACTTCCCAATATTTTAATATAACTGCACGTGTGTTTAAAGAATGATCAATATATACATTTTTTAAAGCTTAAACTATGCAGTTAAAAGAGGACAACGTCTTCCAAAAACATGATTAGAATTAATAATCAATAAATAACTTATGAGTGCATTACTTTCGTTCTCAAGAGCTTTGTGGAGTAATTCAAACTGCACTGCTGACGTGCCACTGGAAGTGGGGTCAGGTCTGCTTGGCAGTTGTCGTGGCACTTCCTCGTTGTGATGTTTTAAATGTAATTTGACCCCTTTTATAAATGCTCTGAATATTTCTCTTTTCAGAGTCCTCTATTTTACAGTTGGAAGACCCAGACTGTGAGGAGGGAAGCAACCCGCCCTGCGAGTCAGTCTTCTCCCTTAACGCAGAGAAGATCCTGGTGAGATCGCACACACGCACACACGCACACACGCACACACGCACACACACACACACCATGTATACATCACTTCAGGGGACATTACATTGACTTACATGCATTTCCTGGAGACTTATCCTAACCTTAACCATAACTAACACATGCCTAACCCTAACCCTAAACATAACCCTAACCCTAAACATAACCAAGTCTTCACCCTAAAATGAATGATTCCCCTTATGGGGACCTCCAATTTGTCCCCATAAGGGAGGCGAGTCCCCACACGTGACTGTGTAAACATATTTAGGTCCCCACAAGTATAGTAATGCTAGAACACACACACACACACACACACACACACACGCACACACACACACACACACACACACACACACGCCTCAATCTGATGATTTGTCTTTGCCCGTTTGCTTCAGGGAGAGAAATGTAGGTTTTTGAGTCGAGCATATTCAGCTTTGTTCTATTGTAGCACATCAACTCTGCACTATGTGCTACATGTCTGTTACAAGCTCTCCCGTCTTTCATTTGTGTATCAAGGAAGAAACCTGACCTGCGTATTATTGATTGATATCCTCTTATTTATGAATGAACTATTACACTATGCTCATGTTTCAGTTTGATACGCATTGTTTTTTGTAATGCTTTTACACTTTGATCACAAGATGAATGACAGAATCTCTTTGAATTCTGAGGGGAAACAACAACCTTGCTGCGTGTATACCAAAGTACCACATCTGTTGCACTTCTAACCACACCCAACAAATGATGCCAACACCGCACCCTTCCTCTAGAGGTGAAATACTTGAGCTAGTGTTCATTCCCAAAAGTGAGAAACACCTGAAATGTTGGCGCCTTAACAATCAAGAAGATGTCTGCCTGATAAGTTAGAAAGAGGAGAAACACAACCTGCTGCTTTCTGCCACAACCTGAGTTCACATTCTGATGACCGTGACTCTATCCGATGATGTCGGTTTTCTTGCCGCCGTTTTGAAAACCCGAAATGCTGCCTACAGCGACATTTGCATGCTGTCTATTTGCATGCTGAAATGGTGTATGTCATGCTGCCATTCTGCATTAGGGATGGCACGGTGACACGACGTGGCACTGTGAGAGGGAGGATGACAAAACAGCCTTTTTAAGCAATACACAGAATAGGTATTGCTCCACAGGAACGGCTGCAGTCGCCGTCCTCAGCAATGGGCTTGAATTCTAAGAATAACCTTGATCTTGTTGCACTTCATCTTTGTGCTTTTAATGTTTTTCCACTTTGAGTAACCTTCTTTAAAATGTGTTTTATAGTGGAACTTGGCTTGCCTTGAGAAAGCTTATTGACACCCCTTTTAAGTCACCTAAATGTTCTTGACAAAGGTTTTAATTTAAACGTGTTCTGTACTTGTTTCTAAAGAATTCAAAGGAACAGGAAGCGTGTTTTTAGATATAGCCCCTCTGATAACCATCTTGTTAATCTGAGTTTCTTCCACAGTTAGTGGATCTGTCGTTGGCTTGGCTTCACACAGGAAGCTACTGTTTTTTAGTTTAGCGTGCCATCTTAATAAATGTCTTTCTTTTTTTAACCCCTACATGTTTTTTGTTCTCGTCTCCACCTCACAGAATCAAGCCAAGTTGTTTATAGAACAGAAAAAAATCCCCTTCCCCGTAGATAACCACAACACAAACGAAGAACTTGGTAAGTTTGCTTGATGTTCTAAATACAAAACCTATCTCTCGCCATGTTCTCCTGGTTATTCATCATCCTTTGTTCTGTCATTGCAGCGATAGGCTACGTTCTGATAGGCAACGGTCTTTATGATGAAGCCATCAAACACTTCTCACTCTTATTACAGGTGTGTTTTCATTTTGCCGCACTTTTGCTATTTTGTCAACCCCCGTGAATCCTTTCAAACCTAGAGTTCCTTTCTTTCTGTTGCATTTGACAATATGTTTTTGATTTAAGGGTGACCCCGAGTTGGTCAGTGCCATCTATGGGAGGGGGATAGCTTACGGGAAGAAAAGCTTACAGGTGAGTGGTTGACGATTGTGTTTGGGAAATCCACAAAACGATTCTTGTATTTTAGTGATCTGAACTTTCTGTGCACATGTAATGCAACCTGGCTTTGAAATGTGCAAAAGACATATAGTTTACTTTGACTTTAAAACCCCCAGATAGCATCAACGGTATACTTTGTGGCCTCATTAGGATATGAAGTGATTATATCCTCAATGATACGGATGGAAAAATGTGGTTATTTATGAGAAACACTTATAATACTACTTGTTGTAGCTGTCAGCGAGGTCTTCAGATTATTCACAGCAGACGACTCATACCTGCAGAACAAGCTAAATAGTTCCTTTTCTGTTTTCTTTAGAAATGGAGTTCCTTTATTTGCAATAAATTGGGAGTCTGCCGATAAAAAAAGAACCTTAGTTGATATATAATTTAGAGACGGTGTTTGTTGTCTGTAGGTTTTCTTTTTGCATCATGCATTTTGATGACTGCAGCACTCTCAGGCATGTGCAGGATGACTCGGTGTGTCATTCAATGAATACAAATGAAATCTGTGGCTAGGAGAAACTGCCCTCCAGAAAAAACACTGGACAGCACTTTTTAAGCTTTCTTAGTTGTTTGTGGCGGTGCTCCTGGTTTTGTTCACTATATATAAAGGTTTATGTCAACAAAATGTGACCGCCTCTCCTTCCTCTCCACGCCAGGACATAAAGAATGCTGACCTGGCGTTGTTCGAGCTCAACAGAGTCATCACCCTGGAGCCTAACTGGCCCGAGGTCTACGAGCAGCGAGCAGAGGTGAGCTGCACTAAGACACCAACAAAGAGTCAATGGATGGTTTGCTCTCTAACCCTCCTTTTAAAAAGTGTTGTTCTTAAAGGTCACCTATTATGCAAAATCCTCATGTCTCTTCTACATCAACATGTGTCCCCTCTTCTTCACGTCTCTTCTACATCAACATGTGTCCCCTCTTCTTCATGTCTCTTCTAAATCAACATGTGTCCCCTCTTCTTCATGTCTCTTCTACATCAACATGTGTCCCCTCTTCTCCATGTCTCTTCTACATCAACATGTGTCCCCTCTTCTTCATGTCTCTTCTACATCAACATGTGTCCCCTCTTCTTCATGTCTCTTCTACATCAACATGTGTCCCCTCTTCTTCATGTCTCTTCTACATCAACATGTGTCCCCTCTTCTCCATGTCTCTTCTACATCAACATGTGTCCCCTCTTCTTCATGTCTCTTCTACATCAACATGTGTCCCCTCTTCTTCATGTCTCTTCTACATCAACATGTGTCCCCTCTTCTCCATGTCTCTTCTACATCAACATGTGTCCCCTCTTCTTCATGTCTCCTCTACATCAACATGTGTCCCCTCTTCTCCATGTCTCTTCTACATCAACATGTGTCCCCTCTTCTTCATGTCTCTTCTACATCAACATGTGTCCCCTCTTCTTCATGTCTCTTCTACATCAACATGTGTCCCCTCTTCTTCATGTCTCTTCTACATCAACATGTGTCCCCTCTTCTTCATGTCTCTTCTACATCAACATGTGTCCCCCTCTTCTTCATGTCTCTTCTTCATCAACATGTGTCCCCTCTTCTTCATGTCTCTTCTACATCAACATGTGTCCCCTCTTCTTCATGTCTCTTCTAAATCAACATGTGTCCCCCTCTTCTTCATGTCTCTTCTACATCAACATGTGTCCCCTCTTCTTCATGTCTCTTCTAAATCAACATGTGTCCCCTCTTCTTCATGTCTCTTCTACATCAACATGTGTCCCCTCTTCTTCATGTCTCTTCTACATCAACATGTGTCCCCCTCTTCTTCATGTCTCTTCTACATCAACATGTGTCCCCTCTTCTTCATGTCTCTTCTACATCAACATGTGTCCCCTCTTCTCCATGTCTCTTCTACATCAACATGTGTCCCCTCTTCTCATGTCTCTTCTACATCAACATGTGTCCCCTCTTCTTCATGTCTCTTCTACATCAACATGTGTCCCCTCTTCTTCATGTCTCTTCTACATCAACATGTGTCCCCTCTTCTTCATGTCTCTTCTAACATCAACATGTGTCCCCTCTTCTTCATGTCTCTTCTACATCAACATGTGTCCCCTCTTCTCCATGTCTCTTCTACATTAACATGTGTCCCCTCTTCTTCACGTCTCTTCTACATCAACATGTGTCCCCTCTTCTTCACGTCTCTTCTACATCAACATGTGTCCCCTCTTCTTCACGTCTCTTCTACATCAACATGTGTCCCCTCTTCTCCATGTCTCTTCTACATCAACATGTGTCCCCTCTTCTTCATGTCTCTTCTACATCAACATGTGTCCCCTCTTCTTCATGTCTCTTCTACATCAACATGTGTCCCCTCTTCTTCATGTCTCTTCTACATCAACATGTGGTCCCCCTCTTCTTCATGTCTCTTCTACATCAACATGTGTCCCCTCTTCTCCATGTCTCTTCTACATCAACATGTGTCCCCTCTTCTTCATGTCTCTTCTTCATCAACATGTGTCCCCTCTTCTTCATGTCTCTTCTACATCAACATGTGTCCCCTCTTCTTCATGTCTCTTCTACATCAACATGTGTCCCCTCTTCTCCATGTCTCTTCTACATTAACATGTGTCCCCTCTTCTTCACGTCTCTTCTACATCAACATGTGTCCCCTCTTCTTCATGTCTCTTCTACATCAACATGTGTCCCCTCTTCTCCATGTCTCTTCTACATCAACATGTGTCCCCTCTTCTTCATGTCTCTTCTACATCAACATGTGTCCCCTCTTCTTCATGTCTCTTCTACATCAACATGTGTCCCCTCTTCTTCATGTCTCTTCTACATCAACATGTGTCCCCTCTTCTTCACGTCTCTTCTACATCAACATGTGTCCCCTCTTCTTCACGTCTCTTCTACATCAACATGTGTCCCCTCTTCTTCACGTCTCTTCTACATCAACATGTGTCCCCTCTTCTTCACGTCTCTTCTACATCAACATGTGTCCCCTCTTCTTCATGTCTCTTCTACATCAACATGTGTCCCCTCTTCTTCATGTCTCTTCTACATCAACATGTGTCCCCTCTTCTTCATGTCTCTTCTACATCAACATGTGTCCCCTCTTCTTCATGTCTCTTCTACATCAACATGTGTCCCCTCTTCTTCATGTCTCTTCTACATCAACATGTGTCCCCTCTTCTTCATGTCTCTTCTACATCAACATGTGTCCCCTCTTCTTCATGTCTCTTCTACATCAACATGTGTCCCCTCTTCTTCATGTCTCTTCTACATCAACATGTGTCCCCTCTTCTTCATGTCTCTTCTACATCAACATGTGTCCCCTCTTCTTCATGTCTCTTCTACATCAACATGTGTCCCCTCTTCTTCATGTCTCTTCTACATCAACATGTGTCCCCTCTTCTTCATGTCTCTTCTACATCAACATGTGTCCCCTCTTCTTCATGTCTCTTCTACATCAACATGTGTCCCCTCTTCTTCATGTCTCTTCTACATCAACATGTGTCCCCTCTTCTTCATGTCTCTTCTACATCAACACGTGTCCCCTCTTCTTCATGTCTCTTCTACATCAACATGTGTCCCCTCTGTGGAAAGAGACTCTGAAAGTTTCAGGAACAAAGATTCTCTCTTTTTGATCCATTTCTATAAAAACCTGTCTGAAAATGAGCTGATCAGATTTTGGCCACTTTATGATGTCATAACGATGTTTTGTCTTGTGCAACCATTAGCCAATCAGCAACCAAGGTAACACCCCCCCCCCCCCCCCCCCCCCCCCTTATCACCTGAATCTCCTCCTAGAGCACCATTGAGTTCTTTGTAACCAAATGTCTCTCAGAGGGGCGTGGGGAGGGGCTCCTTATGTTCATCTAAAGTAACAGACAGAGAATCAGCACTTTGGAAACAGGGCTGAAACAGAGGGGATTATGGGTAATGCTGCAATGATCTGTTTGGTGTTTCAGCCAATCAGAGACAGGTTTGTATATATCTGAGAGCTATAATATATTGATGAAAAACAGTATAATAGGAGAACTTTAACTGAGATTTGAAGTTCCATAAAACACTCACTTATCTGATCCCACTGATAACTTATCACCACTATATCTGATCATTGTATGTTTGGATGGTGGCAGTGGAGCATAATTGGCTCCTTGATGACATGTGAGTCACACAGTGCCTTTCTGGTGCAGTGAGAAGCAACACATACAGTATGTTCACTGTACTTTATTTAGACTTTTTAGGAAGCACACAAAACATAAAATGGTGTGTGAGATGTTAAAAATAATTATTTATTTTTAAGTAGCTGACACTTTAAAAGATGGGGAAGTTATCAGTGTTGATTTGATAGCACAGAAAACATCATATGGAAAAACGCATTTGTTACTACATACAAATTGTAGTTGTTTCCCAGGCAAATCAGACGAGCAATAACTGTGAGTTTTTACTTTGAAGAATCATTCTGCTAGGTTTCACTCTGAGGCCGTTTCCTCTTTGTGAGCCTCTTGAAAAACATCTGTGTTGAAATCAAGCTGACATGCAAGTCACACAAAAGCGGTTACACAACCCTGCCTTCACACGACAGAGAGTCACTTTGTCATTTAGTGTCGCCTTATTATGGTAACTCTTTAAGAACAATGCACCAACACTGCAGCCAAAAGACCCCGTTAGGAATTTCACGAGATGTTTAAGTGTTTGTTAAAACATATTCTTCAAGATCCTAAATGTCTGTCTTGTTGTCCTTAAATGTATTTGTATTTAACATAAGAAGTATCACATTAGAAAAGCTCTAAGAACTGTAAATGGCGAAATGTGATGAACTTCCTCACCTAAACGTGACGAGTGCGATTTGCATTAAAGAGATTATCATACATTTCTTTCAGTTGTAATTATCAAACCAGCTTTTCCTAATAGTGGAAGCAGTTTAATATCAAACAAAGGAACCACTTCCTAAAAACCCTGCCATTGTTATTGTGTGTGTATTTGTCTGCCTAGTAACTGGTGAAGTCATGTTGGGAAAGCCATAGTCCTTGTTAGATAGGCAAATCAAATCAAGTGGATTTCTGCAAGAATGATATGAAAATATATGTTGGTTTTAGAACTTTTTATTTATTCCACAAATATATAACATCCATGGAGATGTATATTAAAGTCACACCCGCCTCAGTTTACAGTCCACTCAAATCTACACGTTATTGCTCACATACATACATACATACATACATACATACATACATACATACATACATACATCACCCCTTTCCTTCCAAGTCGTGGCTAATTATACTTAAATACAGACATTCATTTAAATTCTCTGACCTCTCGCTGGGTAGTCGGTACAGACAGGTATTCTTACAAATCCGAAACAGGTGCTAGTTAAAATTTAAATATAAACTAATATACAGAGTTCTTACGGTCATTAAAAACCTGGAAAAGTCATGGAAATTCAAAATGCAAATTCCAGGCCCTGGAAAAGTTATGGAAAACAATATTATTCCCAAAGTTTTGGAAAAGTCATGGAAATGTAACTAAAGTTGCATCAAATATAATTTATATTTGATCTAATCGCAGAAATAGTAATACTATAATGATAATACATAGTGTATCGTATAGTAATGAAACGTAAAATGGCATTTAACTGACGAGGTGTTTTGCTGGTGAGAGATTTGAGTTGCTTTAGCGTGTAGAAGCGAGTAAGCCAACTATTTGATTTGTTTTAGAGGCACAACATGTTTCAGACCTTATTTTCCTGTTCCATGTTCAAATAAACCATTTTCAGTGGTACCGCTGAGAAAGAGTAATGTCTTTGGTCATGGAAAAGTAGGTAAAGGTCATGGAGAAGTCATGGAAAAGTCATTGAAAATCATTGGTGAAAAAGTGTATGAACCCTGAATATAATACCCAACCAAAAATAATATGTAAAATAAAAATACACATTTAAAATAGGTGTAGAGCTCAGATCTCACTTGTGTTATTGGTTTCCATACATATGTTGTTTTTATTGAGTGTGTGCGTTGTCTGATTTCCTGTGTAGATCCTGTCTCCTCTGGGTCGAATCAGCGAGGCTCTGGGCGATCTGACCAAAGCCATCCAGCTGCAGCCCTCCGCCCGCCTCTACAGGCACAGAGGAACCCTGCTCTTCATCTCAGAGGTGATCATCAAACATTATGTAATCCCCAGCTGCCCATCAGGACTGGATTAGAGATGTCTTTGTTAATATGGATACAATTAGATGAGAGGGTCGTCTGCTAGTTTTAAGAAGACATGGGGACCAGTTTTTGCATATACTGATAAAAGGACCTTTGATACTATCCCGGACTGACACACTCTTAATTGGTGTATTACTGCTATGCACTCAATATATGTACGAGTATATGTGAGCACTTACAACTGCCATGTATCAAGATCATTTCTTAACTGTCGAGGTGACCTATCGTGTTTGCTCGTGGCCTTTTTTGTTAGTTTTACCAGACAGGTGCTCGGTTTACTCTCCCTCTCTAGCCTTGTGTTTCTTACCTGTTCTTGTATTACCTAAAGCCCAATGTGATACTCTGAATACTACTGTTGCCTGTTATTTGTCTGAAAACCGGTCTTTATGTGCATTATGAACATGCATGTCCTCATTCGTCCACATGCTGATCCTGTGCTCTCTCCCCAGGACTATGTGGCAGCTATGGAAGACTTCCAGCAGTCCTTAGAGCTGAAGAAGAATCAGCCCATCGCCATGCTGTATAAAGGCCTCACCTTCTTCCACAGAGGCATGCTCAAGGTAAGGGTTTCACTGCAGAAATATAGGTATTTGGATGTGTGTGTGTGTGATCTGAATATCAAGGAAAACTGAAAATCAGGCTTTAAAAATAGCATTCACGGCACAAACATCCCATTTAAGATTTGTTTTGCCTTACTAAGAGGGACAGTGGGGCAAAAACAGCACCCCATTTTTGTTATTTGTTTCTTTACTGTCAATAACTGCACGATTAACGCAACAATAGGCAAACTGCACTTGCTAGCGACCTCTCACTGAACGGAATATAACATTTGTGGGTGCTTAGGAGCATAACAAGCTTTAAACCAATCCACATCTTTTAGAAAGTCTACTTATTTTATTGTGGGAATTGATCAAAACAAAAAGCCTTATTGATAATATGTTTACAATCAATAATATTGGGGAACACTTTAAATGAGATGTATACAGAATATCAACAAGGACATGCTTTGAAGCTAATGGTGTTGCATGTGCAAACTTAATTACCATCCAATATATACACTAAACCACCTATGAGCAGCTGCAAACTAGTAGACTGCTTTGGGAGTGTGGGTTTTCTTGATTTTTATGTCACACGATAAGAGAGTTTGAGCAGCTCTCTCAGTAGGGAGAATTGAATCCGTCTGAATCTGAGCGAAAGCTGTGTTTCACACCAGTTTCCTGTGTCAGTTTCCTGTGGACTGCTAATGTCATCAGAAACCTCAAAGACACTTCAGGGTGTTATTCGACACACAGGAGGCTGTACTTTAAAGGTGTGGTGTTGCAGACGGGGTTCCCCTGAGGGCTGGGCAGGCCTGATGCATAGCTGACTTCCCATCTCATCTTCAGCAGTCCTAACTAGGGCTGCTCGATTATGGCAAAAATCATAATCTCGATTATTTGGGTCAATAATTGATATCAGGATTATTAAAAACGATTATCTATTTACTTTGAAAACATCCATTTATTGGAGAAACAGTTGATTACCCTGAACTTTAAGTATAATTCAACTGATTAATAAAAAAAAACAATACAATTATTTATTTATTTTTAAATAAATAAAAAGTAATAATAATAATAAAAAAATAATCGTTTTATTTCGATTATGTTGTTTTCGTAATCGTTGCAACCCATAATCGTAATTGCGATTAAAATACGATTAATTGAGCAGCCCTAGTCCTAACCCTTTACATACATTATTTTGTACCATTCTCATTAAAAACACACACTGGAAATGTCCTGAAAAGTCCCTAACAACCGTATGTAGGCACACTAGAGTTCTTATCTCACTTTTCAAATGCAAGTTGCTTCATTTTGGCTTCATGAAACAACTTAAACATATTTGTCCAACTCTTGTTAGTCAAGTCAAAGTCAACTTTATTGTCAATCTCATTTTGTAGTCTCTCAAACCTCAATTACAGCACATTCAGTGTGTCTCAGTCTTTGATTAAAAGATGTCAGATTAAGTGGAGTGCCGAGCTGCAGCTGTTTAATCTGAGGGTTTCTGCAAAGCTGCTCCAGTTGCTCGGTTTAATTCAGTCACATGAGTGTGTGGTTTGTTTTTGGTTGTGCTTATCACCTCGGCTAACGCTCGGCTAACCAATTTCCTGGGGGAAGCCCTGTGCAGCAGCTACTGAAAACACACTGTGAATATACTGAGAAAAGAGCCAGTAGAACATTTGACTATCAGAACCAGTTACTCTCACCATTAACAGTAGTCTAATGATGTAACTCTGATATGAGAGTTTAATGTATTTTAACAATTTCTCATGAAAACAAGTCTACTCTGCATCTCTACATGCTTCTAATCAGTAGGAGGAACTGTGACGGAGTTCTTTTTTGTGAGAAAGGGAGACGGTTGTCTGCTGACCCATAAGCGGCCCCTTCCCTCAATGGTTGAAGATAACTACATTTACTCATGTTATACTAAAGTACAATTTAGGGGTCTTTGTTTTTTACTTGGAACATTTCCATTTCTTATACTTGAGGCACTTTTTATTCTACTACATTTACTATAAAGCTTCAAATACTCTTTTAATTGTACATAAAAAAATGCAGATGTCCCCACTTAATGTTTCAGATTTTTTCATTTAAACAACTGTTACCTAACGTCCACACGGCAGCTTCAACGGAGACGCTTCCCATTCGCTTTGAGTGACGTCACGCTTTGCCGAACTGCATTGTGGTTGCTTCGCTTTGCCTCCGTTGCTCGTTTAGAAAATTCAGAACATTTCAACTTTTCAAGCTTCGACGGAAGCGCCAGCCAATCAAATCATATGCCAGTACAAGCGCTAGCCAATGAAACCGCGTGCTTGTGTGTCCGGGGCGGGAGATTAATGTGATTGGTTGTTGGTCGCACGCCAGACACGCCCACCGGCAAGCTTCAACGCACGCTGCCGTGTGGACGTACCGTTAGAGGCTCAAAGAGGGAAAATGATCCACTTTTTCACAGAAATGCTAAATTTGAGAAAAGTCCAAAGGAGCATACACATTTTAAAAGCACAACTTTGTTTCTCCTTGGTCTCCCTCTCCCGTAAATATTCTCAAGACCCATCTCATTTATCTTGTGACCCTTACATAATGTGTTTTCAGTACATTAAGATAATAATACAACTGTTCTTTTACTTGAGGAAGATTTCAAATGCATCACTTTGACTTATTGTGGAGTACTTTTACATTTGTGTATTGGTATTTTGAATTAGGTATAAGATCGTACTACTTCTATCACTCCTTGCAAGGATTACATAGTGGGATTGTATTACATTTACACTTTACAAAACATTATTTTATGCATCTACATCAGTGTTTCTCAAACTTTTTCACACCAAGGACACTTAACCAATAAAAAAACACTCGCGGACCACCTAACTCCACAAATATCAAAAAACACCTCATTTTTCTAGAACAGATTACAAATCGCCTGAAAATGGTACAAACAAGTGGCAACATGTGTGACGAAGGTGTTGCGCTTAAGCTCGCTCCATTGTGGAGATATTCCCACGAGAGTGCGGAAAACTTAAATCAATTAATTTATTTCAAATGTGAAATGTTACCAATATACTCACGGACCACTAGGGGGCGCTCACGGACCACCAGTTGTCCGCGGACCACACTTTGAGAAGCACTGAGAACAGAGTTGGAGGTTCATGAGTTCCACTGTGACGACTGTTCTGTAAACTAAAATGTGCCATCGCTATCTGGTTATATCTGAAACAAGGTCTGCACCATCTGCCGAGTCTAACATTTTGGGTCAATTCTCCTTTTCACTTTTTGTAATTTCCTGTTAACTTTGTGTCGTCACTTTGTTTTCTCTCGTCAGGAAGCCATCGAGACATTCAAAGAGGCGCTGAAGTTAAAGGCTGACTTCATAGATGCTTATAAGAGCCTTGGACAGGCCTACAGGTACAGAGACTTTTATATACCCGATAACACATGTCCTTTTTTGCATTGAAGGAGTTGAGATTACCCCCCCTCTCCCCTCTGCTTCGCTAACAGCATGTGCATGTTGCTCTCTTGGTTTCTCTTCTTCCTCTTTGCAGAGAGCTGGGGGATTTTGAGTCTGCGATGGAGAGCTTCCAGAAAGCCCTGATGTTGAACCAGAACCACATCCAGTCTCTGCAGCTGCGAGGCATGATGCTGTACCACCACGGCTCGCTGCAGGAGGCCATCGGGAACTTCAAGGTGAAGGGGGGGGATACACTGTGGAATTATATAGCTAGGCTTTATATCCTATTTATTTGTTGGGCCTAATATTCATTTACATTACATTGCATTTAGCTGACGCTTTTATCCAAAGCGACTCACAATAAGTGCATTCGAGCAACAAGATACAAACTAGAAGAAAACAGAATCATAAAGTACATCAGGTTTCATAGAGCAAAACATTTCAAGTGCTACTCAACTAGCTTTAGATAAGCCAGTCCTTTATTAGTGTATAAGTGCTTAGTTAGTAATTCTATCTCTCGAAGTGGAGTCGAAAGAGATGAGTTTTCAGTCTGCGCCGGAAGGTGTGTAAGCTATCAGCTGTCCTGATGTCAATGGGGAGCTCATTCCACCATCTAGGAGCCAGGATAGCAAACCCACGTGTTTTTGCTGATGGGAACTTGGGTCCCCCTCGCAGCGAGGGCGCAGCGAGCTGTTTGGCTGATGCAGAGCAGAGTGCACGTGCTGGGGTGTACGGTTTAACCATGTCCTGGATGTAGGAAGGGCCAGATCCATTCGCAGCATGGTACGCTAGTACCAGTGTCTTGAAGTGAATTCTATCAGTTACTGGAAGCCAGTGAAGGGAGCGGAGGAGCGGAGTGGTGTGGGAGAATTTAGGAAGGTTGAAGACCAGACGAGCCGCTGCATTCTGGATGAGCTGCAGAGGTCAGATGGCACATGCAGGTAGACCAGCCAGGAGGGAGTTGCAGTAGTCTAGGCGTGAGGTGACGAGAGCCTGGGCCAGAACCTGCGTCGTTTATACTGCAGTTTTAAGCTATAATATGTAAAACATTTCCAAAAATGACTAAACCTGTTATAATAATAATAATAATAATAATAAAGCTTTATTTATATAGCACTTTTCATACAACACATGACGCTCAAAGTGTTTTACAAAATGACACATCACAAGTTAAAAACAAACAAGAAATTCCCCTCAGATTATTTGTTAAGAACTTTACAGATAAAAAATATAACATTTTATCAGGCTGATAAACACAAGGAGGTCAAATGTATGATAATTAAAATAAAATAATATAAAAAATGGTTTCTCTCCGACAGATAAGACACAAGACAACTGAGTCGATGCAACAATATAAAATATAAAACCCCATAAAACAAAGTGAACATATAGGTACAACAGAAATAAAAATAAAATATATTTTATACATTTGCGGTACGTCCACACGGCAGCGTTGCGTGCTTCAACGGAGACGCTTCCCATTCGCTTTGAATGGGGTGACGTCACGCTTTGCCGAACTGCACTGTGGTTTCGTCGCTTTTCCTCCGTTGCTCCCTTCGAAAGTTGAGAAAATATCAACTTTTCAAGCTTCGACGGAAGCGCCAGCCAATCAAACCGTGTGCTTGTGTGTCTGGGGCGGGAGATTCATGTGATTGGTTGTTGGTCGCACACCAGACACGCCCACCGGCAAGCTTCAACGCGACGCTGCTGTGTGGACGTACCGTTGGTTTCGTTTTTTACTACCAAGTGTTTCCATACATTTTCCAGCCTGGAAAAATTAATAATAAGTTATATTAATTGTAATTGAGGTAACGGTTTTTAGCCATATTTCTTTCAATGCTTTTTTTGGTCATTTGTTGCACAGAGTCCAAGAAACCCTGATTTTTAACCCATAAATGCTCATGTGGGGGGGGGGATTACACTATTAATTATATGGCTATTATATTTATTTTGTGGGCCTTCTACTCGTTAAACTGCAGATTTAGAATTATAATATGTCAAATGTCACATTAAAGTGTCTCAACACGGTCTATATATTTGGTTTAGTTGAATTATTTCAAATCTTTCCATACATTTCCCAGCCTAAAAACATATTTTAAAAGTTTAATATAATGGTAACGTAATTATTCTACTTTTTACTCATATTTTGTTGGCACATCTCCATTTGTTGCACAGAGTCCAAGAAAAACAGATTTTAAACCCATAAATGCTTAATTTTATAACCACCTAATCCAGCTGTTGGTAAACATCTCCTGAATGATGAACAATGCTTACAACGGAGAGGATAACTACAATTACAACAATGGGGGTGAAAACAACAGCTCCCATGATACCACACTACGTCAACATGTCACTACATCTTTTGATATTGTTGTAAATGTGAGACCCCTTGCAGCAAAAAAATCCATATTGAACTTCTGTATACCTTAGGTTGGTTAATAACAAACTATCTTTTTCAGTCCAACCCTTCTTATTGTTCTTCTGTGTTTGTTCCCTTTGTATTTCTCTGCTGCAGAGGTGTCTTCAGCTGGAGCCGTACAACGAGGTGTGTCAGTACATGAAGGGGTTAAGTCACGTGGCGATGGGTCAGTTCTACGAGGGCATCAAAGCTCAGACTAAAGTCATGCTGAACGACCCTCTGCTGGGACAGAAGGCCAGCTCTGAATACCTCAAAGTCAAATACCTCAGAGGTCAGTGTCCACACAGTCCCTTTAGTTATCCCTATAAAAGAAACCATAAGCAGCCGACAGTTACTATAACTACAAACCTCTATTTATAAACTAAACCAGTACATTTTAAATGATATCTTGCATTTATTTTCCCACCAGAGTACTCTCGCTACCTGCACTCCCACCTTGACATCCCGGTAGCAGAGTACAACGTGGACCAGGACTTACCGGGAAACTTTAAGAACCACTGGGCCAAGAACCTGCCGTTTTTAATAGAAGATTATGAAGAACAGCCCGGCCTGCAGCCACACATCAAGTAGGTTTGATCAGTGGCGAACCGTGTCTATCACAACTGGACCTTCTGTAGACACACACACCCCCCGCCCCCCCCTCCCCCTCCGCGGCGTTATAATGTCCGTCTTTTCACTGAATTCTCTGAATACCTTGAAGGCCCTGACGGTTCGCCACTGGGTTTGATCGGTCCTATACAGCTGATATTATACTTGGTTTTTTCTACTTTTTCCTGCTCTGAGATCAAAGAAAAACTGCAGTTAATGCTTAAGATATTAGCAAAATGTAATATAATAAGGTACTTCATTTGTAGCGCAATCAAAGGGGTTTCAAACCAACATATTAATATATAATATTCATACGTTTTCTTGGTTTTATTTGGTTCATTACACAGTGTCCTGCACGGAAGAGTAATAACAGGGGGTCCGTAAAAAGTATTAAAAATCAATTTAGCGAAAATGAAGGCTATTCAAAAGTATTAAAGGGCATTTTCCAAGGTATTACATGTTGTAGCTTGTTTTCAATAAGTATATAAATGGTCCAAAGAGGTTGTATTCCACAGTCTGCCTGAATGTAATCATGGCGTAGGTGTGTAGTGTGATTCTGTAGTTTATTGATGGCATCCCGTTGGATTTGACGTCATCTGAACAGGACATCGCACGCTCACTGCTTGATAGCGCGCGAAGGTCCGTTTACGCCGGTTGTTAAACAACATCGTTATGTGGAAATGCAAGTCTGCGTCCAAATGGTTGGAAGATAAGGAGGAAGGACAATCAATACTGTATATAGTCAATGTGAGGTAAAGTGTGTCGCCAAGGTAACCGGTTAAAACTCCAAGTGGCGATGAGGTCTTAAAATGTATGGAAAGGGTCTTAAAAAAGGTCTTAAAAGGTTTTAAATCTGACTTCAGGATTCCTGCATATACCCTGAATAACTTAATTTCAGAAATCATGATCCATCACCTTCCTATTGTCTTGAGCTGTAGTTTGTAGAAAACGCACGAGCCCAGAGCCCATCCAAACAGTGTATAATGGTTCATAGGCAACACCTGCCATCTTTTCTATAAGGCTTAAAAGATCCAGTGTCCTTAAGGCAGATTTTTTTATGCCAGAAATAAACGTTTTCTTCTGTTTCAGAAGCTTTAACAGTAGCCACAGTACAGTCCAGAAATAAACTAATAAAAGGGCACACCTCATAGATTTGTGTTTGTGTTCTGCAGAGACGTGCTGCCTCAGAACTTCGAGAGCTACAGCAGTGAAGTCCAGAAGCTGATCTGCACAGCCGACCACCTGGGGGCGCTCATGCAATACGACACTCCTGGTTTCTTACCTAACAGGAGAATACACAGAGGTGATGAATGCTGCAGTTCATACAGACACTTGAAGTATAAACAAAGGCAGTAGAGTAATGATGTTTGTGCCGTTTCAGCCATGGGTTTAGCCACTCTGGAGGTGATGCAGGCCATGCATCGGACGTGGAGCAACTCCAAAGTCAGAGTCAACGGGAAAACCAGGCAAATGCAGTGGAGAGACATGTTCGACATAGCTGTCAAATGGAGGAGGTGAGAACTGATTCTGATCATCTGTGTTGAAATAAACACTATTGAACTTCATCCATTCACAGTCCAACTTATCGACTGTTAACATCAGTTATTGAGTCAAAAAGTGGTTACTCTTAACACGGTGTAAATGTGTTTTGACTAGATGAGAAAACAATGAGTAAGACACCTAAAACTGTATTGTATTCCAAGAGAAATTAAACGCGGGAGCAACTGTGGATACATATTCATCTCCGGGAGCTCATTCTAAAACACACAGGATTCAAGGGATAAGAAGACAGATGATTTGATACATCATAGCCACCAATTTACCCTCTTAAGTAGCATAGTAAATGCTAGACTCCAGATCTGTGTGGTCTTAACACTGATAGAGAGGCGAAGACCCTCCCTTTCCGGGGACCTTCATGGGACCTTATTTCGGAAAAAGTATGTATTGAAGTCAATGGAGAGAGAAAGATTATCTTTCGATCCCGTTTGAATTGTGCCATGAATTACACATATGTTTGTCAATTTAAAAGATCATTTTGCAAGTAAATCTTTTTTAAATGTGTCGTAAAACTGTTTTTGTGTGAAACCGCTCAATGACCTACATCTCCCGTCTCGCACCACACACCAAGACGGCCGTCACGTTGAAACATTTCACTTCTTTCTCTCAGAATGAGGCGGAAAGTATTAAACGAGGTCTGGGCACGTTGAGAGCTGTGCATACACACAAGGGGAGTTAGTCGGTTCCGTGAGAGCCAGCATGCGGGACCGGGATTCTGGAATTTGTAGTCTTTCTGGTTGCGTATTTTTCATAGTCTTCTATTTCAACAGTTTTACGACAAACTGTGACTTTTTTGACGTGGAAATAATTTTTTAAGATTGACAAAAATCATATATGTAATTCGTGGCACAATTCAAACGGGATCGAAAGATACGTTTTCTCTCTCCATTGACTTCAATACATACTTTTTCCGAAATAAGGTCCCATGGTGCGGAAGTAGATGGGCGGGACTTCGCCTCTCTATTGAACTACAGTGCTAACGGACTCACCATCTTTTCCTCTGCTCGCAGGATCGCAGACCCAGACCAGCCCGTCCTGTGGCTGGATCAGATGCCTGCCAGGAGTCTCAGTCGAGGATTCAACAATCACATCAACCTCATCAGGTAACAGCTTCCCCCCTGGAGACAGAGGCTCCCATAAGTCCCTGGAGTGACTTGAATTTCCACATTGCCTTGCTTTGTCTCCTCAGCTTTGTATTGGTAACACTTGTATTGAAATTCATGGTTATACGACACTGTTTGTTCAGTTTTTAATCACTGTAGCCTTGACTCTGACAAACTCACAGAAAGCTCTTCTTCATACCAAAGCAGATCTTTTGACAGTATGAATTTTGTTGTCCTTGTCTTTCCTCAGGGGACAGATTATCAACATCAGATACCTGGCGTACTTTGACAACATCCTCGACTTCATCAAAGACAGAATACTGGTGTATCATGGGTAAATGACACCATTACTGAAACATTTATCACAAACAGTTACCCTAATATTCTGTACTGCCTCTGTTTTAGTGATGGGAATGATGGCTCTTTGAAGGGAGCCGGATCTTATGGCTCCGTTCCTTTCAAAGAGCCGTTCAAAAGAGCCGTTCAAAAGAGCCGTTTAAAGGGTTACTAGGTTTATCTGCGAAATAATCACCAGGATAATGATTGACTGTATTGCCAGACCTAATGTCAATCATCTGCATTGTAAACATGACACAAGGTGGCGCCGTATCCATGTCATCATGTCAGTGAATGTACTTTGAATTTCCCCTCTGTATGTGTTGAGTAAATAAAGTTGCCTTGCCTTGAATGAAATTCACGCAACTCTTAATATTAGATACTGTGTTTTTAAGTGGCGATGGAGATTATTTGTTGACCCTGCTTTAAAGGATATTTTGCCTTTACAAATGGTGCGCTTTATCACCGCCTGGGTTTTGGTTGAATGCTGCGTTTTCGCGTTTGGCTCATTTTCCATCCGAAAAACACGTCGTCTACCGCTCCTGTACCACTTGTTATGACTTCTCTCTCGCGCGTATTCCGTTAAGACCCACCCCGTCTCACTCCTCGTGCTGAAACCTAGCAATCAGAGTAGGGGCGGGTCTTCACAGAATACGCGTGGGGAACAAAATCAAGCTTTTTAAAAGGCGAGTGGATTTTGGAGTGAGTGCGGACCAACAATTGAACGATGAAAAGAACGGCTCTTTGGTACGAACGAGGGGAATCGAGTCGTACTTGGTGAGAGCCGTTCTTTTTATCGTTCAATCGTTCAAAATAATCGGCTCGTTCGCGACCGACACATCACTGCTCTGTTGCTGCAATATCCTTTTAGTTATTTCCTTTTTTCCTTCCTTTGCTTTCTTTGAAAAGCTGTATCAGAAAACAACGAAAGACTAGCATCCCCATGTCTGTCCTAATTTATTTCCCAGGAGCTATGGTATTATTGTTGCTACTGTATTCTGCCGACAAAGCAGAACTGTGTACATTATTCTTTCCTTCAGGCTTTTACATTTTTGTTTTGCATGAATTTTCTTATGCATGAATATAAATATTTATTCAACTTTCTCCTGTTTTGTGTGTCAGGGCGTACAACCCCAGAGGACTCTTAGAAGTCCGGCAGGCTCTTGAAAATGTGAATAAAGTAGAAGATCTGCTTCCTATAATGAAGGTAAGGACGAAAAGCGGGATGATTAGTTAAGAGGAAAGTAAACCGAAGATGTGTTCATGACTAAAGTTGGATGCAAAAATATTGCTCTCAACTCGAGGCTCTACTGCAGTTTTTAAATATTATATAACATAAGGTCCTAATAAGCATATTGCTCAGTTAGAAATACAAAGGGGACCATGAGTAAAGATTGTTTTACCAACTGCCGTCTCAGTGTCTCAAGAAATTAACTCACAATCGAGTTTTTATTTCGTTGTCTTGTACAAAATACATGTCTTGTATTCGTTCAGCAGTGAAAACCCGGCTGGTTGTTTGTGTGTGTGTTTTATTTCCTGAAGCAGTTCAATAGTAAAACCAGAGATGGCTTCACGGTCAACTCCAAGGTGCCGAGCATGAAGGATCTTGGGAAAGAGTACGACGGTTTTACCATCACCATCACTGGAGACAGGTACGAGGCAAAGTATATTTTAAGTGTCGACCTAGACAATGACAGTTTCCACTTTGTTGGAACTATGAAGCCAGAAGGAGATGAACTGATTGCTTGTTCAGATGTTTGAACTGTTTTCTGTGTTTTAGGGTGGGCAACATGTTGTTCTCAGTAGAGACGCAGACGACAGAGGAGCGGACGCAGCAGTACCAGTCAGAGATCGAGTCCATCTACAAAGACCTCACTGCTAAAGGGAAGGCCTTAATGCTGTCCACTGAACTCGGGGTAAGATTCATCTCTGCTGTCAACCTTCCTAACTTTGGTCTTCCATAAATTACAAAAAGCAGAATACAGATCAGATCTCCAGACAGGAAAACTAGTGAGGGAATTTAATTAATCGTCTAGAGCAGTGCTTCTCAAAGTGTGGTGCGCGGACCACTGGTGCTCCGTGAGTGCTCCCTAGTGGTCCGTGAGTATATTGGTAAAATTTCACATTTGAAATAAATAAATGAATTTAAGTTTTCCGCACTCTCGCGGGAATATCTCTGCAACGCTTAAGTTTCACTTTCGATTGCATCATATAGCCCAGCGCAACACCTTCATCACACATGTTGCCACTTGTTTGTACCATTTTCAGGCGATTTGTAATCTGTTCTAGAAAAATGATGTGATTTTGGATATTTGTGGAGTTAGGTGGTCCGCGACTGTTTTTTTATTGGTTAAGTGGTCCTTGGTGTAAGGGAAACTTCTGTGCAGCAATGCAGTGGGAGTCACCGACTCAGGAAAGAGACACGGGAAGAGCAGGAGCTTTGATGTCAAACACTGATGGTTTATTTGGAGTTTCGGCCGGAGAATTCACATCACAAGTCCAAGAGCCAGAGGTTCTGACTAGTGTTAATTTTGTCAGCTATTTTTTTATTTAGTTTTAGTCTTAGTCCTGTGTTAAATTTTCTTTTTAGTTTTAGTCATATTTAGTCACCTTCATCCTGTTTTTATTTAGTCAAATTTTAGTCGACTAAAAGTCCGAGTATTTTAGTCTTATTTTAGTCAAAGAAAACTAATTATTTTAGTCTACTTTTTGTCAATGAAAACTGTAGTCTTTTTTAGTCATCAGATTATATAGAACATTTCAGTCAAACTAGTCTAGCCAAAACCAATAATTTGTCATTTTAGTATATATAAATAAGATTATATCTTGTCCTTATTTGATGAAAAACAGGTTGAATGATTAAGAAGCTTTGCAGAGAGTATCTGCTCAGGTTTGTGGTGCTTTCACCAGCTGTGTTATGGCCACATTGCTTCCCTTCTGATAAAACAATGCATTCGCTTTTTTTCTCCGCCTCATTGTAGCGAAAATGGGCCCAAATATCACATCGTTTCTTTCTCCCAAGCAGTGGTGGCTTTAGACTTTTTCGTTGTTAGTCATTTTGACGGACAGGATCGTAACATTTCCGTCATAATCCATTATTATCCGTCGAGTGCACAATGTATCTCTCACTCGCGCTGACGGGGGGGGGGGGGGGGGGTATTCGGTTAACGCGAGTGCGACCACTGCTCCCAAGCCCTGTTGTTGCCATTTTATTTTCTGTTAAATAAGGTTAGTTAGACCATGAGTTAGACCCGAGTCTTCCTGACAGTTCACAGTGTGCCGCTGCCCGGTGTAATTCAAATCTACCGCCGCGCGCAGCACAGACACACAGCTGCTGCCCTGCCGCAGCACCGGAAATGGAACTGCTGGGAGAAAAACTGACTATCAGAGATGTAACGTTATCTTTGATAATATTTCGTCTCCTCATTTTTCGTCAACGAAAGTAAAGAGAGATTTTGGCATAGTTTTTATTTAGTAAACTACATTTTCGTCTCGTCACTTTTCGTCAACGATATTGCATGATGATTTCGTTACAGTTATTGTTTACTGCCGTCGGTGCCGTCTCGTCATAGTCTCGTTTTCGTCATGGAAAAAAAGGTCTTTGACGAACATATTTCGTCATAGTTTTAGTCAACGAAATTAACACTAGTTCTGACTTCACGGTAGAGTTGCCACGTCAATTCTGGAGCGCCTCTCTCTCGTTAGCCCATTTAACTGGTTTCACAGAGTAATCAACATATTTTGATAAGATTGCTTAGACAGTTGGGCACACTGAGTTACTTGCGTCCGTCACTTATGGCCTCGAAGGTTTCATACCTTGGAGTCCACAAACAACAAAGAAGGAAGTGTCCCAGTGCACCCACAACAATAGACCATCTGTGACCTAGGGTTGCCCGGTCACAGAATGGGAACAACAACATTATGGCTGAAGCAGCCTATCTCCTTAAAGGAGATAACAGATGTCAGGGTTGGTCATGCACATCATATCTAGGAGTCTAGGACAATTATTTCCCTAACACTTGGTATGAAAAAGTTTGAGAAACACTGATCTAGAGCAGGGGTTCCCAACCTTTATTGTGCCAAGGACCGGCAGATACATTAAAAAAAAGTCGCGGACCGGTTGTCAATTTTAACAGATTTTAATATTTACTCACCAGCAGCAGGTAGCAACAGAGGCTAATTGTACGTAACAGCCTGAACAAATACTAGAACAATATAATAATAATACATTACATTTATAAAGCGCTTTTCCTGGTGCTCAAAGCGCTTACAAACAAGCCTAAAACAAATATGCATCCAAAACATATTTACAACGTTTAAAAAAGAACCGGAGTCGTTTTTCAAAAAAACGACGTTATTCAGTTTTTAAACCAAAACAAGAAAACAGATAAATCAACGTTTTGGTTTTGTTTATATGATTTACGGATAATCATGGGAAAACGAGGTGTGTGTGTGTGTGTGTGTGTGTGTGTGTGTGTGTGTGTGTGTGTGTGTGTGTGTGTGTGTGTGTGTGTGTGTGTGTGTGTGTGTGTGTGTGTGTGTGTGTGTGTGTGTGTGTGTGTGTGTGTGTGTGTGTGTGTGGTGTGTGTGTGTTTGTGTGTGTGTGTGTGTGTGTGTGTGTGTGTGTGTGTGTGTGTGTGTGTGTGTGTGTGTGTGTGGTGTGTGTGTGTGTGTGTGTGTGTGTGTGTGTGTGTGTGTGTGTGTGTGTGTGTGTGTGTGTGGTGTGTGTGTGTGTGTGTGTGTGTGTGTGTGTGTGTGGTGTGTGTGTGTGTGTGTGTGTGTGTGTGTGTGTGTGTGTGTGTGTGTGTGTGTGTGTGTGTGTGTGCTTTGTTTTCCGCCGATCTTATGATAGTGACGTTCGTTCCGGTGCACGTCCGACAGCATTTAGCACTACATCGAGATTAAGATTAAACTAATTTATTTTGGGAACACCCGCATATAGGCTACCTATGGAGTTAGCCAGACGTGTGTAAATTACTGTTCATGGTCATTTGAAAACAAATGCCGGTGTCGGACAGACACAAACACACCGAACACACAGAGCTGAGCTGAGCATGCGCCTTGGTGACTGGACATCTCCTTCATAAAACTAATAAAAGGGGGAGTAATCGGGCAGTTTGATGTGTGTAGCGATATGTGTAGAGGTGTGTGTGGTTAACACGTAGCAGCCTGCAGTCACTCGCTGTTCTGATGAAGGTAAACACAGCGAAGGCGGTGCGTAAAAAGGCACAGCTCTTTACCCGCTGGTGCTGCACTTCTCAGAGGCGGAGTTACACGTCCCGCTGCCTCCTGATGCTGCAGCCATTTCATGAAGTGAAGGAGGTTTTCCTTCTATAAAACAGCTGCAGATACCGTGAGAGTCCCGGACATGAATTCATAGATCAAGGCAGACTGGTTTACTCTCCTGTTTTGCCAATCCGGTGCTTAAACAAATAGCTCTACACCCCTGGCCGACATGTCCTTAAAATGAAGTCTGAGTTTGAAATATATCTCAAATAATGTATGCACTGCCATTTCCCCACATAAACATAACCGTCTGCAGTTAAGCGGTTGTCTCCTGTGCGCTCCTCTTCCTACTTGGCGCACCGGTAACTTTCTCGTGCGCACGAGAGGCTGAGACCTTATAGGCTGAGCCGCCAAATCCCTCGGAACATTATAAAAGCCATTTTCAACGGTTTTCTGGTGTAAGATTAAATAGGCTACGTGATGAAATAATATGACTGGTATAGGTGCGAAAAAATATTATGATAAAATATATTTATAATTCTGCAAATATTACGTTAAACTCACAGCTATTTCGCGGCCCGGCAGTAACACCTCCGCGGACCGGGGGTTGGGAACCCCTGCTCTAGAGAATATCACAGATCAAATACAGGATTGTAGTTGAATGTGTTCAGCAGCTGGTTGTTGTGGAGGATTTTCAGACTTGAGAAAAAACTATCGGACATTTATTAAAGACACATTTTGACTTGATTAAAAGTCAGTCAGTTCAACTTAGGCTCAATTCCTCATTGTTCAGCTTCTAGTTACTTGATCCAGACTGACAGCTGTGTGGTCAATGTCGTTATTATTGTAACAGCTGAAACAGATACCTGGAACAATATGAATGTCCTCTTTTGTTTTGTTTTTTGTCTCTTACACCCTTTGTTGTTTAACCGAAAATATAGACAGTTCATAGTGAAGGCAGTTTTAAATTGAAGGATGTGTCTGTAAATTCTTGCTCCGTCAGTTCGTGACTAAACGGTCGTTTGTCTGTCCTCCAGGATGCAGATGCCGTATGTAACCTGATCCTCTCCCTGGTTTATTACTTCTGCAATCTCATGCCCCTCTCCAGAGGATCCAGGTAATTCAACATGGAAACAGCCTGCAGTCTTAAGATTTTCAAAAGGTTCAACTATAGTGCAACTAACGCCTCGTACACACGGTTCCGTCGCGTTGAAGCTTGCCGGTGGGCGTATCTGGTTCGCAACCAATCACATTAATCTCCCGCCCCGGGCACACAAGCACGCGGTTTGATTGGCGAGCGCTTGTACTGGCATATGATTTGATTGGCCAGCGCTTGAAGCACGCAACGGAACCGTGTGTAGGATGCGTAACTGTCATTTTAGCTTGTTTTCTTGCTGTTTGAGTGGGATCCCTATTTACAGTTAACTTAAAAAGTGTTTACTTACTTTAAAATAGATTTTGGAAACTTTTGAGTAAACTTTTCTTACTTTTAGCGTGCTACAGAGCAGTTCAGTTTATGATGCTAGTGTGAAAAGTGTTTCTCTGATGTTCCTCTCCTCAGTGTGGTGGCGTACTCCGTGGTGATGGGAGCGCTGATGGCCAGCGGGAAGGAGGTGGTCGGCAGGATCCCGAAAGGAAAGGTAAACATGAACAACCTTTCAGACATTCACCTCAGTATGGCAGACCTTATAACATGTCAGATTGATGTCAAGTACAGTTGAAGAAACCGATGACTTCCTTCCTCACTGTTACACTTTTCACACGTTTAATTTCTGCGCTTCAATTTTTAAACTACAAAACATTGTTACAGGGATTATTCTCATGGCATACGAATCTCTAAGCAACCTTTGTCGAAGCAGAAGAGTTCAAAATAAAAGGAACACCAATAATAACACAACTACCTCCCTTTGACATCCACGACAACTGCGTCAATGAATATTCAGCTTTACATATAGCACCTGAGAATGGGAAAAGGAATAAAGTTAAAGTCTGAATATAGTGTCTGACCAGAAGAGAAAACACTCGTTTTTTTTGCTTTCATTTAACTTTCAGCTCACCATTTTTATTCTAGCTGTGCAGTGTTTCCGCCAGCACAGGGCTGAGAGGCTGGTGACTTGAGCCGTCCCTTATAGATACTATCTCTTTACGTATTAGTGATGGGAATTCCGGCTCTTTTTAGTGAGCCGGATAATTTGGCTCGGCTCTTCGGCTCCCAAACGGCTCTTCATGTTACCACAGTTTACCACGGAGCCTCAGTTTCGCCGGTTCGAGGCTCCGGCGCTCGCAGCTCCGGCGCGTGCTTCACTAGCACCCCCCCCCGCTCATCGCGTCCAAATCGCGCACGTTCCGTGTTATCCTGTGACAGCCACCACCGATGTCGGGGAAACGATCTTCAATACTCCGAAAATAATCCCACCAGATTCCGTTGCCCCTCCAACAGCGGGATGTCCTTGGCCTTTTTCCTTTTCGTCATTTCAAGCGATAAAAACTCTCGATCTTCTCTCAAATTATTTATTTTTTTGGACGCCCTCGGCTCGAGTTCAGGGCGTTCCGAGCTGAATAATGGCATCAAATTACGGCAAGACCCCCCCCTGGCGGAAACGCTGTAGCTGTGATATCGCTCCCCCTCACACAGCAGGTGCTCGCAGCTCTTAACCGCGGTGGTTTTGGCGCAGTGGTTAGAGCGTTGGTCATCAGATCAAGGGCCGTTGGTGAACTCCAGTTCGAATCCCGCCTCGGCCGCCACTGCGTCAGGCCGTTGTGTCCTTGGGCAAGACACTTCACCCGCATTTGCTCCTGTGGGTAATGTCCGCAGTAATGACTCTAACATGTCTAATATGTGTAATTGTAAAGCGCTTTGAGCACCTGTAAAAGCGCTCTAATAAAAAATGTAATGCATTATTATTATTATTATTATTTATCTGAATACAAACGGACATTAACGTAAAGTCAGAATAATAAAAATCCACAAGTTAAATAGCTTTAAAACCTGCAATGTGTGACTCTGGATTGGAATGACGTGAGTGTTTAAGAGGATATAATACAAAACAAAAAGGACTAGTTAAGGATCATTGACTCTTTTTTTGTTATCTCTCTAAATAAAAGGTGTTCATTTCATAAGAGTCTATTGTTCCAACACATTTACTCCAGACATCGGGGGAAAGATGCTTGGCTGGATCTCTTATGTTGCGCCGGCCAGGCAGACACTTTGTTATCAAAACAAGGCAGGAAACTGATCAGGTGTGAGATTTATACCCAGGAAGCGTATTGTCTGATCTCATAATGTCCAGGCTTGTCTTTGTTTGACTCAAGATGTCTGGGCATTTGAATATCTTCACAAATGAATACAAAAACCTGGGAAACCTACAGTTCACGTTCTAATCCTTCTCATAGACACACTGCTGCTAGGGAGGGCTTTTGTTGCTTTGAAGAGGCTTTAATAGGTGCAGAAAAACAAACATTTAGAAAACATCCTTGTTTGATGTTCAACTACATCATATATAGAAAATAATGACTGAAGTCTTCTTAGAATTTTACGGTAGTAAGTTTAAATATCATAGTTATCCGTCCTAATCTGCACTACAAACGAAGGGCAAGACTCTTGGAATCTTTTACAAAAGTTGTTTATTTTAAGTCAGGAGGGCACCATAGAAGTACATCTGTTGCACTCCCTGAGGTTTCTGTCATTGTTCCCAAATAATTGTGGGATTTTCTTGGAGTTTTAACTTTTCCACTGCTAGGGTAACACAGAGATTAAGACACTCTTAATGCCCTTGATACAAATGTTTAATTGGTGGTGTGTGGCTATATACATAGAAACTGATGGATTGACCCTGAGATGAATTCAAGCAGATTTGAATTGTTGAATTCTCTAGGATAAAATGGTTGTATAAATATCTTTCAGTTCTAGAAATGTATAAAGAAATATTCATCAGATCAAGCGTTATGCAATCTGGTGATTTATTGTCTACGGCTCTTCATTCTTCTTTATCATGTAACTCTTAAAGTGGGTCGTTGGGTAACTGTGTAATTGACAGATCATCTATTTCACATGTGTCAAACTCAAGGCCCGGGGGCCAAATCAGGCCCTTGGTGGATTTAATTTCGGCCCGCAGGATAATTTCTAATTACTATTAGATCTGGCCCTCCGGTATATTGCACGCACACCTTCACTCCATCCTGAGGGTCTCCTCCGCTCAGAGCCTGAGCCCAAACATTGATGACCTTGCTCCCAAGATGAGATGCCCAGTATCTGAACAGCACAGAGCAGCACACTGAGTTCAATGAATGTTTCCTTCTGCACTTTCTCTCTCACGACAACAGGGCATGTTTGGGTTTCTCTTTGAGGGGAATAGTTTTTTTGAAGCTGTTGTTGGCCTGTGGGAAAATGTACTCATAAGAAATGACTCTTAGCTGCAGATAGAGCCATAAGAAATGAATGCAGCTGGTTATTTAATGTTTAATGTTGTTTTTATAGGCAATCATTTAAGCTTTGTTAGTTCCAGGTTGAATATGTGCAATAAGTTCATTTCAATACGTTTTGCAATAAACATTGAACCAGTCCGGCGCTCCACTAGTACCCATTTTTTTAATTTTGGCCCACTGTGTATTTGAGTTTGACACCCCTGGTTTATAGCATAACGTTTATTTTCTATTCTGAAGAGTTTTTTTTACATAAGTGCCATGTTTGGTTTTGAAAAACGCTTGCTTAGTAGGAAAGGAGGTTGACATTTTTTTTAATCGGATGTTTTTTTGTTAGTTTATAAGACATGTATCCCGAGTCTTTGTCCTCTAACAGTTCATTAAACATTGTTTCAGCTGGTGGATTTTGAAGCCATGACAACACCCAGTCCAGAAAGCTTCAGTAAAACAGCCAAGAACTGGATGAACCTCATGAGGTAACGAGACAAAACCGTTCCTTTTATTTATAAATACTCTTCAGTGCAGTTCATTCATATGTTCTGTCTCCTTCAACAGTTTACCAGTTTGGTACCAGAGTCTTCCTTCTGTAGCAGAGACGTTCCCGTCCAGCAGAACGATGATCGAGGTTCTCAACACAGACTCATCCTCACACTGTCCCAAGAAGTCCTAACAAAACTTCAGGAGTCTGTTCTGTCTCAATAACGGAGCTGCTGCACTGAGCAGGACAAAGGGCCGTCTTCTTCTGCATCCCAAACTAAACCCCAAAAGCATCTGAGCTCTAACGGTCATTCCCTACATTTTAAATGCATATTGTTTATTCCACACATTTGGGAACCAGGTCTATTGGGCTTGGCTAAAAACTAAGGTCATACCAATTGAAAACGTGTATTTAAAAAAAGACTTTTCCTCTGAGAAAACATTGCTTTTTCTTTGGTTTGTGGAAAGCTGAAATATATCTTATTTGGTATACAATGACTTCCTACTCAGTAATCCTCTCTTAGACACACGTTTTAAGTTGTGAACGTGCATACTTGAGCGTTCATCCAGCAGGTGCACACAATGTTTTCATTACCTTTGAACATGTATTTGCCACGCAGGACTATAACTACCGTAGTAGCAGCAAAACAACTGCAACAACAGTCCCTGACACACTTTGTTCAGATGCTCGTCAACATGTTCACATGAAACTACACATTTCGCCTCTTAGCTGTAGTCTATATTGTTTTGAGCGTTTTAGAGAATATTCACCATACAGATGTCTGCCTTCTTTTTTATATAAAAAAACCAACATGGCATTCTGTCTGTTGAGCTCAATGAGTCCAAAGATTAGTTTTAACTCAACAGGAAAGACCTTGTTGGAGGAAGTGTTTTATTTCTACAGTACACCACCTGCCAGCAGTATCATTGCACCGAAGGAAGGAAATGACGCTCTCCATGAGGCTGTTGAGTTTCTTTGGCGCTTTGAGCACCACAAGCAGAGTTTTAGTTCCATTATGTTATAGACAAGGCAGACATCTCTATGATCAGTATCTCAAACGTTTCGCAACGCACCCGAACTACAACCTATATAGAACAGGTAAGAGGACAAATATATTTTTTCCACTTGACTTGTCCCCTTTCATTGGACATTATGTCACGTTTATACAGTTTCAAATTGATTCGGATTTAGTTCAGGTACAAAAACATAATGAAATATTTTGGTGCTACCTTGTTTCAGTCCCAATATTCACACACTCCAGCTGTTTGGGTGAAGGTGAGTTTGGGATGCAGAATGGATTCTGTCCACCCGCGTCTGTTTCTCTGCTTTATAGGCCTTCACACTGAAACACACACAGTACACACAGTCCTCCATCTCAGCAGGAACAAGTCATGGTTATTAAATTAATACATCTAAGCGTTTTTGGATTTAAACTTAAAATTGGATGTTAATTTGGCGTCTGACGTGCACATTTTCTTAACCACTAAGGTACACACACACACACTCCAGGCTATCAGCAGAGAAAGAGTTTCGGGATCTACGGAAAGTAAAATGATGATAGAAAAACCTTCAGGGCTATTGAATTCCACTCTGGATACTTGAAGCAGTCTCTCTTTTTTATTTTGTTTTTTCTCGACACTCGCAGGAAGTGTCGCTTTTGTCTTATCGGGGGGATTGAACCCCGCTTTCTTTTAGCGTGACCAATAAAAGGGTCGGTGGTGAGAGGGGTTGGCTGCTGAACGACTGAGAGCGAGAGTCAGAGGATTTCAGAGAATTTTCAGAGGCATAAAGTCAATGATTTGTCGAAGGAAAACCGCTTCAAAAATATGTTTTTTCTGCGTTTTACGTCATGATAACGTGAATTATTTGAGTTTCAGGAAAAAATAAACTTGAATTTGAACAATGTGAAATTCAGAGTACCGATTTTTTTTTGTTACATTTCAATACTACATTTAGGATTTCACACAGCAGAGAAATGGAAGAGAACTCAATTTTATTAATGAGAAAATAAAGAATTCAAAATTGTTTTAAATATTTTTTGCAAAAGAAGACGTCTATACGGTTGTGTCCATTTACTTGAAAGATTTATAAAATGGTGTTAATGTACATTTACAAATATACCACAGATAATATTAAATATTTTTAAGATTGGAACATGATCATAAATAAATCGCAAAAATGAAAAAGGATTTTCAAAATACAAGAAAATTCAACAGAAATTGATCAAATAAATGTGTTTATACTTAATACAATTAAATATAATAAGACGAGCAGCAAATCAGTGAAAAGCGAAAGATACACCAACAAAAACAGCCACCGTTGGTTTTTGGATATAATACTTGATAATAATCGATTGTTTTGAGTTTTAGCGTCATGTCTTTAAGCGATGTGCTGTGGTGGAAAGACTTTCAAAAGAAGCATAATAAGCTGCGTTCAGTTATATGTCTCATACCAAACATAAATATGAGTAAGGGTATTATATAGTAGTCTGATTTAAAAAGCACTAAAGCAGTAAATGTCCCTTTTTTTTAAAGTGAAATAAGTACCAAAAAAAATGAGAGCAACACGAACAGACTCCTGAATATTCTCTGACTGCTGGGTCTCGTAAAGGATTAATTAAAGATGGCGGAAAACACACTGTCATCGTTTTTGCTATCATTCCCTTCTTGAACTGGATGCCATCTGTGTCTCTCACATCTCTGGATTTTCTTTTGCCCCCGTCGATTAAATGTGCCGTCACACGCTGTTCTGTAAGAGCATTACTTTGGGAGAAAATGGCTCCAAAAGTCTTAAAAATACTGTCTATAAAAAGACAATGTGGGACAATTTCTGTCTTTTCTAGATCACAGATATCTGGGGAAAACCTGGCCAGATTAAAATGGATTAACCGGTTTGGGAAATCTTCAAAAACACATTTAATTGGCTGTTAATTTCCAAATATGTACCACTGTTTGGTATTCTCTTTAGTTAAACTTTATTAGTTTAATTCTGTCTTTACAAAACTAAAAACGCTCTCATGGAAATTGAACCTATTGCTACAAATAAGAAACCTGATGTTTCAACGCCCACCAAAATCACCGCAGAGACGCGCACCATCTCCCCCGTCTTCATCACTGCGCCTACGTCAACCACCTCCCCCCCCCTTACTGATATGTGCTGGGTCCAGGCTCAAGGGCGTATGGCACTCTCAACTCTTTCCAGGACATGTCGGGGCCCTGCCTGCCAGTAGCTTTGCCGATATCTGTGTTGATAGGTAATAGATTAATAGCGGTGAATCATCTTAGAAACAGGAAGCGCTCAAACGTTTGTGTGAGTGTATCTAATTTAGCAGTGATTCCATGTCAGCCACAGCTTGTTACAAAAAACATGACTGATAGTGTGTTTAACAAACTTAAACTAGCTTTATTAAATGTCAGGTCTTTGGCAGGAAAAACATTTTTAATCAATGATTTTATCACTGAGCACAATCTCGATTTTATGTTTTTAACAGAAACTTGGATTGAACAAAATAACAGTGCAGCTGTTCTTATCGAATCAACCCCTCCCAACTTTAGTTTTATGAGTCAGGAAAGAATGCATAAGAAAGGGGGTGGAGTTGCTATTCTGTTCAATGATTCCCTTCAATGCAGGAAGACATCTTATGGAAACTTTGCTTCTTTTGAATATGTGGCCCTTCGGCTAAAATGCTCCTCTCGAGCTCTGTTCCTAAATATCTATAGACCACCCAAATACTGTGCAAGCTTTTTTGATGACTTTACTGAACTGCTGTCTATAGTGTGTATTGACTTTGACCGTCTAGTCATTGTTGGTGATTTGAACATCCATGTTGACAACCCCCAGGACAGAGGGGCAAAAGTGTTTTGTGTTCTTGATAGCTATGGACTGACTCAGCATGTGACGGAGCCCACGCACAATAAGGGGCACACTCTGGACTTAATTATCTCAAAGGGTCTGAATATCTCTAAGGTTGTGGTGACTGATGTTGCACTCTCTGACCATTCCTGTGTTTTCTTTGAGAGCTCTATTTCTGTTCACAAAAATGTTCAAAAAGAGGTAACCACAAAGCGATATTTAACTGAAAACACTAGGGAAATGTTTACTCAGAATTTCTCTTCCACACTTGCCCCTGCCAACATCTCAGTAAATGAGCTAGTAGATCATTTTTAATTCAAAAATTAAAAATGTTATAGATGCCATTGCTCCAACTAAGGTAAAGGAAGTGTCTGGCAAGAAAATATCTCCATGGAGAAAGGCCATGACCGTGAAAACAGAAAAAAGAGAATGTCGAAAAGCTGAACGCAGGTGGCGAAAAACAAATCTCCAGGTTCACTTTGAAATCTATAAAGAGAGACTTGGCCTTTATAATTTGGAATTGAAAAACGCACGACAATCGTTCTTCTCTGACATCATTACCAAAAACAAAAACAACGCACGTGCCTTGTTTGCTACCGTCGACAGACTAACTAACCACCCAGTGTCAGTAGCCTCTGAATTTCTATCCACCAGGGCGTGCAATGATTTTGCCTTTTTCACTGACAAAATTCAGAAAATCAGACAAGCAGTCAGTGCCTCTGCATCAGGAACAGCAAATGTGTTGTCCCTATCTCCACTTAACATCAATTCAGACATCATGACACAATTCCATCAGATTAATGATAAAAACCTAGAGGACATTATTCAACTTCTGAAATCCTCCTCCTGCTGCCTTGATATTATTCCAACAGGATTTTTCAAAAATGTTTTTCCTTGCATGGCCTCAGATCTACTTCATATAGTAAACAAATCCCTGAAAACTGCAGTCATTAAACCGCTCTTAAAAAAGAATAATCTAGATGCTTCAGTAATGAACAATTACAGGCCCATATCAAACCTCCCATTTTTAGGTAAAATCATTGAAAAAGTTGTTTTTCAACAGTTGAGTAATTTCTTGCATTTAAATAACTGTTTTGATGTGTTCCAGTCAGGCTTTCGTCCAAACCACAGCACTGAGACTGCTCTTGTAAAGGTCTTTAATGACATCCACTTAAACACAGACAGTGGCAGAACTTCAGTGTTAGTATTATTAGATCTCAGTGCTGCGTTTGATACTGTTGACCACAACATATTACTAGACCGACTGGAGAACTGGGTGGGACTTTTGGAAACAGTTCTGAATTGGTTTGAATCCTACTTAAAGGACAGAAACAACTTTGTTTCTAAAGGTAAATACACATCTGAGTTGACAAATATGACATGTGGGGTTCCTCAAGGCTCCATCTTGGGGCCTCTTCTCTTTAACATCTCCATGCTACCACTGGCTCAGATAATGAAAAACAACAAAATAAGTTACCATAGCTATGCAGATGACACACACATTTACGTAACAATTTCATCAGGAGACTATGCTCCAATTCAAACACTGAGTAAGTGCATTGAACAAATCAATGACTGGATGTGTCAGAACTTTCTCCAATTAAACAAAGATAAAACTGAGGTAATGGTTTTTGGAGCCAAGGCAGAACGTATTAAAAGTTAGCGCTGAGCTTCAGTCTGCAATGTTCAAAACAACAGATAAAGCCAGAAATCTAGGTGTAGTCATGGACTCTGACCTGAGTTTCAACAGTTTACCATTGGGAAAGCTTAATGTTTTGTTTAATACAAAAAACAGGGAAAGGCTTGAAAAACACTGAGAGTTGAGACTCAGGGTGCAGGGTGAGGGTCTCAGTGCAGGTATTCAGGCTCCATTGAATCCCCCTCTGGTTCTTGTGCTGAAAGAGGGAGTAACAGAGAGGAGAAAGGGTTATACACACCTATATAGCACACCTATTGGATGGGAAATTGCCTTGGGGAGATAAGGTGTGGTCTTTGTTCCCAACTGAAGTTATGGAACTTTATTATTTGTGAGTTTAACAAAGTATGACAAATGGCATCAGTAACAGATGTGATATGAATTTCTATAAAGTTGTCTCACATTCTTGGTCATATTTTATATACAGTATGTAATGAGTATAACATGTCCAGTAAGTATAAAGTGTTTCCTAATACTGTGTATTCAACCACTATGGAATATGTATGTGGGCAGACAAAACTGAGTTGTTCTGTGTGTGAAGTAACCTCAAGTCACTCCGCAGGCACATTTTGATGCAGACCAGTTTGTCAAGACAAAAAAGGGCAAGACTAGGCTGAGAGCAGAGGCTATACAAAGAAACAAAGAATGTACAAAGAATCTACAAAGACTATCTCCAGCAGTACAGTAACGCACTCAAAGCAGCCCGGTCTAATTACTACTCACAACTCATTCAGTCTGGCTCCAGCAACCCCAAGCGTCTGTTCTCCACCATCAGCAAACTTCTCAAACCCTGTGACAACGCCACCTCATCCTTCACCACCGAACAGTGCAACTCCTTCCTCTCGTTTTTCCAAACCAAAATCAGCAACATTTACAGCAATGTGACACCCTCATCAGCACCCCCCACCTCCCCTCCCCCCTTCACCTCACAGCCCCTGTCCCACTTCTCCCCTGTGACCCCCATGCAACTGTCCGACTTCATGACTGGAATTAACTCCACCTGCACACTTGACCCAATGCCCCCCCAAATTTGTTAAAGAGAGCCTCCCTGCCATCTCCCAACTCATCGCCACCATCATTAACTCCTCCCTCAGATCTGGATCAGCTCTCAAACTGGCTGCTGTCACACCCATTCTCAAAAGACCTGGACTCACACCTGACATCATGTCCAACTTCCGGCCCATCTCAAATCTCCCCTTTCTGTCAAAAATACTTGAACGTGTCGTTGCCTCACAACTTAAAGCCCACCTCAGCTCCAATGATCTCTTTGAGCCATTTCAATCCGGTTTCCGATCAAAACACAGCACCGAAACAGCTCTTCTCAAAATCACAAACGACCTCCTCCTCTCCTCTGACTCCGGC